CTTTATCACAGACAAATTTCTAGTGATTAAATAAAGTGGCACAGCTAACTTTCTACACATATATTCTTGTTCGTTTCTTACATCTATTCAAAAGCTTAGTATTACTATTATAATTACTGATGATATCGTCTCGTAACTTTTTTACCTACATACCTTCCTATCTATTGATATTTGTCGATCAGTTTTTCGATCGATAACTTTTTACGATTTTACAAGACTGGATAGTTATTTGTCTTTTACTACTTTATTTATTTATTTATTTTTTTAACGAAATAACAATGAGTTTAAACAGAAGAAAAATAGAATTTTATTGTTCACATTAACAAAGGTTTTTATACATTCTGATGTCTTTATAATCCTTTTGTAGTATATATATATATATATATATTATTGATTCCAAATTTTACCTCTCTTAAAAATGCTTTTCATTTTCAACTCTATTATTATTATTATTATTATTATTATTAGCATCAACAAGAGTAGAACCTTGTATACAATTTGTTTGTTTTCTCATGCCTACGAAACAAGTATTGATCAATGTATGTTGCATGTGTATGTGGGTGTGTGTGTGTGTGTGCGAGTTTCAAAAGTCTCAGAAAGGAAGCTTCGACTTTTGTTCCACAAGATCTACTACCATATAGTAACTTTTTTTCCCTTCACGTTCCCCAGTGGAACATAGGGCTTCAAGCTCGGTCGGTCGGTCGGTTCTCGACATAGAACTTTGCACATACGTGCGGCTGTTCAAGTCGCCACACTCCATGTAGCACACAAAGCAACAGAAGAAAGTAGGAGAAATGCATAATATAGACAGTAAACAGAGGTGTGAGACAAAGGAATAGTAATAACGAAGAACAAAACAGTTTCATTGGAAATCATAGGTCACAAGGAGTGGATGCATCTGCGCCATTGACAACGACGATTTTGAGCCATGTCACCAATTGTTTCCAACCCTTGGATTTTACCGTCCCGAGGATCCCAACCAGTCAGGAAGTCTACACCTTCCTACGTGGCTTAGACTAACTGTTGTGGATTTCATTGACTGGTGCCATGTTTTCGTTTGACCGCCGCTAGCTCTTTTCCAGCCTGGCCCTTATTCAGCTAACATTGCCCGTCGAGGAAGGCGATGACTAGGCATACGTAATACATGTCCTAACCATCTCAGTCGAAGTAATTTCACCTTTTCGTCGATTGATTCCCCCGCCTTACCTAGCACTCGACGCCTAACCTCTATATTGCTCACCTTATTATACCACTTCACACGGGAGATAGAACGCAGACACCTATGATCGAAGACATCTAATCCTTTCATATTTTCTGCTCTCAATGGCCAGGTCTCACAGCCATAAAGGAGGACGGAGCGGACTGTTGAGCAGTACACACGCCCTTTGGTCGATAGTCGGATATCGCGTCTACGCCAGAGACGGCGTAAACTGGCATATGCGAAACTAGCCCTCTGTATTCGTGCTGAAATTTCGTCGGAGATCAACCCTTTGGCACTGGCTGATGGTACTTCCCAAGTAAGTGAAGCGGTCAACATGTTCTACCACTTCACTTCCTATTTCTAATCTAGGGGTCGATGAAGTCCAATCCTGCAGCATCATCTTACATTTTATAGGGGCGAATCGCATGCCAAACATACGAAGATTGTTGCTCAGGGTGTTCAGTAGACTCTGCATTTTGTCAGAGTCCTCGCCTAGAAGGACTATACCGTCCGGCTTCAAGCTAGTGGCTTGAAGTTTCTTTAGCAGTGTTTATTTTACAGGATGGGGTTACTAGCCTCATGCCCAACCTTTCCTCTTTACCAGCATTATTTCTGGCTCAGCGAGGTAAAGGAGTGCGTCTGTGACTGGGGATCGAATCCCGGATCATGAACATGGTCGGCTAGCCTCCTAACCGCTATACCACCGACGCACAAACAATATGGAACGCTTCACGATTTTGCGTGTCATCCTTGCTCAGGGTGGTAACTTTAATAAGTATATATTATCTAGTGCTATATATATATATATATATATATATATATAGGGAGAGTGTGTGTGTGTGTTTATAGGGTGTATGTGCATCTTGAGTGTATACATAGATTTCATAATATTCTGATAATTTATGGTGTTTTGCTTATATGTCCATGTTCTATTTGCATTAATGAAATGCCATCGAAGTAATGCTTCATTATCTCCTATTGCTTGGCGTACTATTATTATTATTACTGCTACAACTACTGTATATTAGAGATGTATTGAATGTAAATATTTGGGATAATGTTATCACTGATGCGTATTATATATGCACATATAGAAATATATGTATCATTTTTATTACTATGCACTTCATTGTCCCTTATCATTTCCTTTTTATTACACTGATGTATGTGTCTACAAGTTTTTCATGTGTATTTGCATCATCTCTTCCTTGTTCGTCGTCATTATCTTCGTCGCCCTCTTCTTCTTCTTCTTCTCCTGTATGATCGTCATCAACCTCAGTGTGAACCATATTGAAAAGTTCATGAAGTAAACATTTACAGTGTTTATCTATTAGTCGATTATTTATTTTATTATTTCTCTTTGATGATAATGTGAAGGACTTATTATTAAGATATCTAATATAAATTGAATATTCGCATAATTTATTCAGAACAAAAATAGTTAGAGCGAACAATTGTGCTTTCAATAAATTCTTCTTCAGGCTCTACAATTATAAATCCATTAATTTAAGCATACAATAGCCAGCCAGTAAAGGCAAATTAGAATCATATCAGAAAGTGTATTGTGGAACAAGTATAAGATGGGATGGAACAATAGTCAGATAGTTTTTTTTAATATGCATGGTCAATGAGAACATGGGACAAAATGAGATGAAGTAATTTAATTTAATGATGTATGTATATATATAAATATAGTCAACAGAAAATACAGGTTTCGAGAGTGTGTGTAATCAGGGTGTGTGAGACAATATGAAAATAGACCAACGAATGGGGTGGTCTAGACATAAGTTCAAGGTTTAAAATAACGACAGTAAGAATGATTGTAAAATAATAATAACGATGATATGGTGTAAAATTACAAGCACTATTGGTGAATGATTGTCAAATAATAATAATGAATATAATGAAGTGGAATGAACAGGATTTTGTAAATACGATAGCAAGTTAGAAAAGCACTACTTAAACCTAAGGTAATAAAATCATAAGAAAAGTCATGAAATCATAAAAGTCGAAAATGAACGATTGTCAATGAAACAGAGGAATAGAAGAAGAAAAGAAAAGAAAATTGTGAAAGGAATTTATAGTGTTAATGGAGGATTTGTTGGCTTTATTGTTGGCCAAAGTAAACATAGCGGTTGAACATACTTCTTCTGTATGCAAAGAGATCGTCTTCTGGTATTAATTGCCGCCGCTTCAGCTACTGATAGAAGACGCAGTCGAGCTCCTATTGTATGCTTAAATTAAGGGATTTATAATTGTAGAGCCTGAAGAAGAATTTATTGAAAACAAATGTTCGCTCTAAATATTTTGTTCTGAATATCTGATCTATCTAGGTAAGGTAAATAAGTGAAATGCATACGCCTTTATCCCCAACATATTGGATTCATATTTCTCAAAAGTTGATGAAAACTGATCACATGGCTTTACAGCTTTATGCTATTTAATTACTACTGGTGCTGGGTGAGCAGAGGAATTTTAAAAATAGCGCATTTCATCTTGAACCACCTGTCTGCGTGTGCATGTGTGTGTGTATTTCTGATGGTTTTACCACCCACCCACGCACCCCAGCATCCATCGATTTAAACATCGGTAAAGCGTTTTTTTTCTTCTTTGTCAACCGAATCAAAAGTGCAAATCTCATGTCCAAGAATTGTCAGGTAGTATATTTTCTTTGTTAGTGGGGATTGATTTTTAATCAGCTGAAATCCTCGACTTACTTATTTACTAATAATTCTTGTAGAGATGAATGGGATTCTCAACTTCAAGGGTAAATTGTCCTATATTAATTATCAAAGCGCATTCTGGTAGTGTAAGTCTGTTGGCTAGAGAGGTAATAAAAAAAAGAAGAAAACACCATGAATTAAACGTCGTGTCAAGCTAATGTTTAGCTTTCAGTAAATAGGTTCGAAATACGATGATTCATGTTTTTTGGTTACAGGATTTCATCATGAGCTGTCATTAGTTAGAGAACCATTGGAAAACCTGGGAGTACCGGACAGCTGTTTCGTCCTAGTTTGGGACTCTTCCACAGCAGTACGCACCCACCAAGCTACGAATCCAGGACCATCTGGTTACAACGCGAGCCAGCTCGTAGACCATTCTGCAGCCACTGGGAACAGATCCAATGACCAGCCCATGAATTCTAACTTCTGCCAATTCACGATATAGCGCGACCACTAGCCAATGTCTTCAGCGAGTATTTGTCCTCACACCCAACTTGCTGCACCCTACTGGTCACGACTTCTCACTGGAGCCCCAGGTAACTACCTACCTGAATTGGGCCAGTCGGTAGTGGGCATCTCATTGGTATTCATGTTTTTGTAACATCTATCATTCCACGACATGGTATTTATGGTTGTTCTCCAGGGCATATCTGTGCGAAAATGCTGATGAGTTTTCTCTCCATGTTTTGAAATTGTACACTCATGGCATTAGTCATCTGATCACCTGTTGTCAGTGTAATACAGACTCCAATGTCTACCTGCTATAATTAGATAACCTGATTGTGTGTTGCCAATGTCATCATCATTGCTGAATATTCATCATATTTCTAGTTTTACTTTTTCTCCATTAGGATAAAAATTCCCTTTTAGTGAGGATCTTCCTACAGGAATTGCTTAACTCAATTTATTCCCAGTATATTTCTTTTTGAAATAATCATGATGTGTTTTTTGAATTATCAATATACGCCATTGGTAAAGACATGAGTCCGATTCATATTTTCAACTTAATAATGGTTTTAAAAAAATCTTATAATAATAATTATTATTATCATGATTATTATTATTATTGATTTCAGAAGAATCCGGTCAAGACAATACATCTCAGTACAATGGAGTTAGGCGTACAAGTGGAATCTCTTGGCTGAAGCAAAGGTTAGTATTCACACGTTTCATCTATATATATATATATATATATATATATATATATGTATGTATATATATATATATATATATTAATTTATTTCAGTTGGTGGTGTAAGGTCATGACACAGTAGCACTATCTACCTCTGGTTATTATCATGCCTAGGATTGTGTATCTCACCATTTGTGATTCACATTGTTTTTTGTCGTCGATTTGATCGAGCCTAATTAGTTTGAGGCCCTTTATTCGTCTACAAAGGTATGTTTTGTCATCATCAATGAAAACCAATTAGAGAACTATTGAGCAGCAGTTGTCTTGATGTGTTTCAATTTCATCACTTATACTCAGCCGCTCAATCTTGTAAAGGTGTCAGAAATTTAGCCTTCAAAATACTGCATGAAGGCATTTTCATTCCCTGAATGATGTTGAATTGGGTCAGAATCTACGCCGAAACTAGTAAAGTTTTCATAATCTCAACGTCTGGAAAGATGAATACGTGTATCTGCACATACATTAATATTGTGCTTCATACCATTGGATTTTTTTTATTCCTTCACGTTCCCAGTGGAACATAGGGCTTCAAGCTAGAGGCTTGAAGTTTCTGTAGCAACGTTTATTTTTACAAGATGTGGTTGCTAGCCTCATGCCCAATCTTTCCTCTTGACCAGCTTTACTGCTGGCTTAGCGAGGTAAAGGAGTGCGTCTGTGGCCGAGGATCGAACCACGGACCATGAACATGGTCGGCGAGCATCCTAACCGCTGTGCCACCGACGCACACACCATTGGATTATTGTTACTGTATTTCTTCTTTAAAATGCCTCCTCTCGTTCTATAAGTTTCTTCGTTATTTTCATCGGCATACAGTATATATAGCTATTGCATAACGTGTATGTGAAATCTAGCTTTTCTTCTACTTTTTTTCACTCTATCGATGATATGAAATATGCTTCCCTGAAGTTCGATTACCTTCCTCCCCCCTCCCATTCTCTCCCGAAGAATAATAACATTTATAAACAGAATTCGTTAGTGGTCGATCGGTCGGTCAGTCGGTCACGTGACAGAAGATTTTTTCTATTGATTAGCTAGTTAGTATCTGCGCTTGTTTTTACTTCGTTTTACTTGTCTCATTCAATTTTTTTCCATGTAAGTTGAAGTGAATGTGTTGTGTGTCTTAGGCAAGAAGAAAAAAAGTCGATTCCGGTTGGCAGAATGAAACAAGCGGAAAAGAATTCAAACTTTTAACTCACTATTGTTGTTTTCATTGTTAATCTCAATAGTTGGCTTATGTAGTACCCCTATCTTCTACGTATGCCTTTTTTTCTAACGGAACCGGGATGATATGGAATCGTGAAGAAAAACAACATCAGATAACGAAAAGTAGTCGTTGAAGGATCAGTGCTTGCTTGTGTAAGCCTTTCTAGGTAGTTGAAGTATATGTGAGTAAGGCTTGTCTGTTCATTGTAGAGTAGGTAGCCAAAGGTCGGGTATACAATGCTTCGGTGTAGGCTGTCTTGCTCTACGCCTGTGAAGCAATGACCTCTCCGCACTGAGAATGTGCAGCGGCGTTGCGTATTCGATCATCGCTGTCTCTGCAGGATTGCATGTGTTAGATGGCATCATCGTGTGAGTAATTCTGAGGTTCAGCGGCATGTTTTTTGACACAGTGGAGCTCACCATTTGTTGAGTGTTATCATCTGGAAACACCGGCTTTGGTAGCTGGGACATGTGCTGCGAATGTCATTCTAGAGGCTTCTGTACGGTCTCTGTTTGCTAGCCCTGGGACGGGATGGAAAAACTGTAGAGGTAAGTGGTCATCCCAAGACGTAGCGTCGTGGTATGAAGGATATTTGTGATGGGTTGAATCAATGGCTCGAAACGTTATCGGATATTTTCAAGTATTGGTTTGGTAGGGATTTTGTTTAATTGTATGGAGGATTTCATCATGAGCTGACATCAGTTAGAGAACCACTGGAAAACCTGGTAGTACTGGACAGCTGTTTTGTCCTAGTTTGGGACTCTTCAGCAGTACGCGCCCACCGGGATTCGAACCCAGGACCTTCTGGTTACAAGGCGAGCTCGTAGACCATTGAGCCACTGGGACCCGATCCAATGGTCCTTGAATTCTAACTTCTGCTAATTCACGACATAGCGCGACCATTTCGCAATACTTGAAAATTAATCTGATGCTCACTAGTGACTGGCCCTATTCAGGCAGTTAACCTGGGGTTCTAGTGGGAAGCCGTGACCAGTAGGGTACAGCAGGTTGAAGATGTGACAGTAACTCATCTAAGAAGACATTGCGAAATGGTCGCGCTATGTCGTGAATTGGCAGAAGTTAGAATTCAAGGACCATTGGATCGGGTCCCAGTGGCTCAATGGTCTACGAGCTCGCCTTGTAACCAGAAGGTCCTGGGTTCGAATCCCGGTGGGTGCGTACTGATGAAGAGTCCCGAACTAGGACGAAACAGCTGTCCAGTACTCTCAGGTTTTCCAGTGGTTCTCTAACTGATGTCAGCTCATGATGAAATCCTCCATACAGTTATCGGATATGTCCAAGAATTGCAATCAACGGTGAACATGCTGCAATTCCCTCCTTTCTTCCCATCCCGACGATAATTGATGAATGATGTTTGAACTTGTTAAATGTGACTGTTTTCCTTCCAGATGAATTTCTTTATCTGGTCTCCATCTATATTATTACTTTTAATCTATGTTATTTTATTGTTCTTGGTGCCATATTGTTCCAAGTTTTCTGTGTTTAAATAAATAAATCACTATAGTCTTCAAAGTCAAACGGGAGATTTCTGAGAACCTTGGAGGCCGAAGTGGAGAAGGGTTCGATGGGAACAGCAGTTGGCCATGGGTCAGGCGGTCCTAAGTGATCCGGTAAATCGGAACAGAGACGGGGTGCCTGATATTGTCCGCTTGCGGGTTTCGTTAGTATTGCTGCTAAATTGTACTGCTGCAACGCAGCCCCCTGTAGCGAAAGGGAATAGGGTTAATATTCCAGACCCTGACCATGGAGATTGGTGTATATTGGATCTTTGATTCAGTGTGTGCCCAGTGCAGTAACGCAACCGAACTCGGAGACGTCCGCGGGAGTTATGGGAAGAGTTCCCTCTTTTCTCTGTTAGGAGTGCATCCACCCCTTGGAATCAGCTTGTCGGAGATAGGGGGCTAGCCTCCGTAAAGCACCACCCTTCTTGCGGTGTCCGGAACGCTCCTGAAAGCCTCTAAGTCTGAATCCCGTCCATATTTGCATGGGTACATCCCGTATCCGACACGTGGCTCGGCAAGCTTACGTATTCCTTTTGCTGTCTGGACTGGACCATGTGTTCGGCTAGGTGTCCATTAGGTCTGGTGTTACGTCAGAGCGATGACCATAAACTATGCTCTGGATTTCGGGGTGTAGGGGTTTACTCGATATCTAATTGTGGTATAAGCGTGAGGATACTAAATCGTTTGTAGACGAATTAATGTTTTGTCGGGGAGACGTAAGTTCTCGAGCAGCTATCACACTGCGAGGCATTGAGTCCTACTCCTGCTGGACGTAATGATTTCTTATCGAAAGAATGAATACTTGAGATACTAGTTGATGTGTAGTGTCTGCCTGTTAATTTGAACTTTATAATCGTCCTGGTTGTTGTTGTTGTTGTTGATGTAAGTAAGTAAGTATTAGGAAGTAGTAGGGTAGTCTGAATTGATTACTGAAAATTCGATTACCTACCTTCAGTCGTTACTATTATTATTACATAATACTTCAATAACTGAATTGTTATTCCCTTTTTTTATCAGTGATCTTTATTTACAGTTGTCGGTATTTTGTTGTTGTTGTTATTGTTGATGATGATTTACTTTCATCATGTTTATTGTCTTTCCTTCTGCCTTTTTTCTTCCATCCAAACATAATTTATTCAATTATGGTCAAGTGATTTATTATTATTATTCACATACGCTTACTTCTGTGCTGTTGTCAGTGTTGTTCACCGTATATCGAATGTACTATTTCTTCTCACTTGCGAACACATAAGGACTCTAACGCTATTCTGATATAAGAGTCGGATTAAAACACTACTTGGATGCACATACATGCATGTTATGTATTTCAGTCAGTGTATATATATAGAGAGAGATGGTCTGAGTGTTTAAGTGGAGAAGTATTACGTCATATGCATAAATCACCATTAAACACGCATACATACATAATTAGCTTACTTTTTTGCCTGACTCTTAAAATCAACCAACCCACTTACTATGAGTATGTATTTTCGTGTGTGCTGCGCATATATATATATATATGCTTGTATGTGTTCGACTTGTGAAAGTGAGGCCTCAGGACATCGATACAGAGGTGCAAATTGTTCCTGTTGTTGTTGTTGTTGTTGATAACTACCTCTCTGTATATTTGTTTCCAATTTTTTTTTGTTTTGACTTTACCGTTATTCTCGTACAGTTTATTTACTAATCTGTAGACTAGAATGACTGAATTATATAAATACATAAAATAAGATGAAATGTGCAATGTTTATAGCCTGAAATTATCACATGATCCACCTCTTGCTTATCTGTCTGTGCAAGTAGAAAGAAATATGCTAAGAATGTTCTTTCTTTTTCTCACTCTTTCTCTATCTCTCTCTCTAAATGATTTGATATATATTTTTGAATTAATCTATGTACATATATTTTCGTGAAAATGCAAACATTCGAAATGTATTTAAATTTAAGCTGACGAAAGTCAGTCATTCTATCGCCCAACAGTCAGCGTGATCCTTGTCTTTATTTATATATGTTTTTTTCATGAAGGAGGCTATGCTCACTGATGAGGAGTCTTCAGTGACATAATAGGGTGAGTAGTATTGAGGTGATTAGGCTTCGGTTGAGTATTAGGTAAAGAGGGAAAATCAACCGATGAGGTTGTGAAGCAGCTGCATCGATTGAATGAGATGGCTAGGACAGGTGTTACGTGTGCATGCCTAGCCATCGATCGATCACCTTCCTCGACGATGGGCTGTGACATAGGATGGATCAGGTTGGAAAGGAGCTGCTAGTGGTTGATGGTCAAACGAAAGGATGCCTTCTTCAGTCGATGAAATCCATAACAGTTACTTTGAGCCAGCCAGCCACGTAAGGTGGTGTAGACTCAATGGCTAGCTGACTGGTTGGGGTCCTTGGGATGGTAAAAACCAATATTGGCTGTAGAGACAATCAGGGATGTGGCTGAAAATCCTCGTTCTCGATGCTGACACGGATGCATTCATCACTCTTTGTGAGTGATTTGTCATATACAGTAAAAGTCCATTGTTCTTGCATATTACTATTTTTCCTCTCACTCACACTTGTGTTTATTATCTCTGTTTTGAATCTGTGTTTAGTTTGCTCTGTTGGTTTGTGTGGTACAGTGAGGGAGTGTGTCGAGTTGAGCGGGTGCACATGTGTGCAAACTAGTTGTATGTTGTCAGAAGAGTTTTAAACTCGAAAAAAGAAAAAGACTTATTTAGTACTTGTTAGGATTGGATCTTAAGGAAATCTTTTATTCCAATCCAATGGTGTGGTTAGTACGAATTAAGTTAGTTTGACGTCTTAGTTCACGTCTACTTGTTTTTTTCACTTCATCCTGCCTATTTTGTAGGCTGTACATATTTCTTGTCTGTTTAAACTCGTCGGGGAATCTCAACAAGCTACGCTAAGTAATGCTAGGCAACGAAGAGGTATTTTACAATTGATTAAAAGCTGTGGATGTAGTAAATCAAAAATGTTGCTATGCACTCATCACATTCCATAGCATTTCATTTATAGTTGTCCTTAATGTTAGGTGTATTTTCTTATACATTCAAAATTCAAGTATTGGTTTGTAGGGATTTGGTTGATTGTTTACAGGATTTCATCATGAGCTGACATTGGTTAGAGAACCATTGGGAAACCTGAGAGTACTGGACAGCTGTTTCGTCCTAGTACTTGGGGCTCTTCATCAGTACGCACCCACCGGGGTTCGAACCCTGGACCTTCTGGTTACAAGGCGAGCTCGCATACCATTAAGCCACTGGGACCCGATCCAATGGCCCAGAAGGTCCAGGGTTCGAACCCCGGGGTGCGTACTGCTGAAGAGTCCCAAACTAGGATGAAACAGCTGTCCAGTACTCTCAGGTTTTCCAGTGGTTCTCTAACCAATGTCAGCTCACATTCAAAATTATTTTTAAGATTATATGTTTTCGATGACGCGAACGGTTGTCTATGTTACTTTTTGTTGAGCATTAAAGTATATTGTGCATCCACCAACTCAGTTGTATGCATTCAACAACTGGGTTATAATACAACCCATAATGAGACAGGATACTGTTAGTTTTATCTAATGTTGTTTTTTTATGAGGAGGTAGTAGTAATTTTTAAAAACCGTTTTATATCATGTTTTCGTGTAGCTATCCTTTCTTCGTATAATCCGCCTGTCTAACTGATTAGTATCTTTTTAAGACTTTGTTTGTTTGGCATTCATGTCTTTTTATTTTTAAGCTTCTTTCTGATTTGTTTTATTTTTTTGTGCTTTTTCTTAGCGCTAGCGCCGGTCCTGCATCAAATAGACAAGAAAAATCAAGTGTTGATGAAAAGTGAGTTGACTTTCTTTTCATAATACTAACAATTGTGTGAAAGTGTTGATCATTACTATTTGATGGAAGTCGTTTTGTTCATGTACCCATCTCCATCGCCTCAAATCCTTCTTTTTCTTCTTTTGGTTATCCTGTTGTTATACCAATCTAAATTTTTATAAGAGGATTTGTTTCAGCTTTTGAAAGTCACCGCATTATTCCTGTTGATAAGTTAATTTGGTTTTGAAAGCTTCTATAACAAACAAAAGTTAGTTTACAGAAATTTGATTACATTGGTTAACCTGGAAGCATGTATATATAAGCTGGAATTCGTGGACTACGAGCTTTCCTTTGAACTAGCAGGTCCTGTGTTTGAACTCTGGTGGTTGTGTACCCCTGAAGAGTCCCAAAATAGGACGAAACAACTGTCCAGTACTTCGTTGCTGGTTTGCCAGTGATTCTCTTGCCATAGTTAACTCATGATGAAATCCTGTCATCAAATGAAATCAAATCCCTGTAAACCAAACGCGGTTAGGACTGTCGCCGACCATGCACATGGTTCGGGCTTCGATCCCCGCCGACGCACACCTGATATCAATTGGTCGGCCTGCAAAATTTGGGCTACGGATATCACATGCTGAAAATTTCGTAGTTGTACCGCAAAAATGCGGTGTGGAATGAAGCTATATAACCAAAATAAAAATAAATAAATAATATTGGCTTACTAAAAACTAGTCATGACATGATTCAGCGCATAGAGTAACATCAAAATGGAATCGGCTTCTAAAACATGACATAAAGTTTTTGTAATAGTTGGTTTCGGTTGTATAGGTTAGGGGTGAGAAAGGAAGGGAATTCTCAATTTTTTATATTTGTGGTCTTCCTTAATGTTAGGAATTAGCTATTAGAAACTTTTGGGGAGACAGGATCTGTTGGAATCATTCATTTCCCTAATCCTTATCTATATTTCATGTCACTGTCAGCCGATAGTAGTTTCATCCTATGACTTTTAACTTATTTAAATCATATCATGTTTCCAACTACGCCAACTTGATGATCTACGAACTTACAAGTTAGCAAAAAATATCTCCTTTTCTTAAATATTCATCAAACCTGTAACGTTATTCAAGGGATTTCAGGTTACAACCTTAACTTCCTGATATATCATTGAGAAAATGACTGGAAAACCAGGGCCTACTGATTTGGTGATGACCAAACCTGTTAACCAATTAAATCCCTGCAGATCAACACTTGAAAATTAATCTGACGTACACTAGCGACTGGCTCTGTGTAGGAAGTTACCCGGGGTTCTAGTGAGAAGTTGTGACCCCATTAGGGTCCATAAATGATACTCCTAATTGTGGTGGGCTGGATTATGCGTCAGACAGTGGGAAACGAGAAGACAGGGATATCCTGGACCGATGTGAAGAACTTAGAAGACCTGGATTTCGCGCGTGGATGATTTATGTTTGATGTCACACAAAATTGAAGACTTACAAGCGAAAACCGACAAACTGGTCGAAGAAGCAGCCAGAGAAGACAGGACTCCAGGTGAACATAGACAAGACGGAGGTATGTACTGAAGATCAGACGGCCGGAAAGAATCACCAACAAGAAACTATGGGAACAAACAAACGAAACAAGAACCAATCGCCCAACAAATATGCGGGAGAAAGTGGAGATGGACTGGACAGTCGCTGAGGAGGCCGCTGTATGACATCGCGCGTCAGGCCAGTGCTCGAGTGGAACCCGAAAGGGAAGCGGCGACGTCGAAGGGTGACATGGAGGAGATCGTGTGAAGAGGAGTTGAAACAGTATGGATTAACATGGACGCAGGTGAAAAGTACAGCAAAAGACAGAAACAAGTGGAGACGTGTAATTGAAGCCCTATGTTCCACTAGGAACCCGAAGGAACAATAATAATAAAATAATAAATTCAGGTAAGAGAACAGTTACTCTCCTATGAGATTGGCGGAGGTTGGGATTCATGCAGCATTGCATTAGGCCCCAAGTAACTGAATGGTCTATGAGCTCACCTCTTGTGACTCGAAGGCACTGGGTTGTGTTCTCCTGAAGAGAGTCCCAAACTAGAGTTAAACAGCTGTCCAGTAAGTAGTCTCAGATTCCTCTCCAATGGTTCTGTAACTGATGTCAGCTCGTGAACAAACCTATAACGAATTAAATCTGTACAAATCAACATTTGTAATCTACAAAACAAAGGTAAGAGGTTATTGTCACAATTAGTAACAAGCGTAAATCTAAGTGCATGAGAAATAGCACTGTGCCAAAAGTAATCATTGTATATAATTAAGAAAATGTACAACTAATTAATTAAATAATGTATAGTAGTGTTGTCTGAAGATAATTGATGATTGAAAAAAAGAACACAAAGATTTGGAAGTATATGCGTCACAAATAAAAATCGCATAGAGTTTAACTACGCCAACAAATTATGAAAAGAAAATTGACATTAAAAGAGGTTGGATATAAAGCATTTGTGAATGTTGAGTTTTCTTTTTATTGATTTGTGTGTTGTGTGTAGTCTAGTGTTGAACTTTAAACAATTTTGTAGAATCCTAGTTCTTTTTTTATTATCTTCTTGATATTCCTCTTCTTCGACTTCAGATCTCGTCTCCTTCCACGTATACGCGTATCAGATTTACGTGATCGTGGCAATGATATCAATGTAGATAATCGTGGTCAAGAGAAAATAGATGAAAATTCCGAAATTACTGAATCACCTGGTGATCAGTTAAGCGTTCGTCGAATGAATACCTTTACAATGTCGGATAAATTTCGGCCAACTGGTTCAGATTCTCAATCCCCCAGCCTACAGGGTCCGTTATCTAGAGCACCACCAATGTCGAATATACCCAAGTAAGTGTATCTGATTTTACAGTGTCAGTGTGCTTTTTGTATGTTGTCTTATTGTTGCATAGTTTTTGCATTCTTTTATAACACTTATTGGATAATATATATTAGAGATGCTTTTGTAGGGTTTATCCGGCAGTGTGTGGATCTGTCACTTTACTAGAAAACGTTATATGATCTTGAGTGTCAGGATGACATTGCGTTTTGTGTATGCCCACACGGTGACAATTGGTGAATAACTACCGTCTTCTCTTATTCCGTAATTATGTTTTACGAGTCGTTGAGAAAAGTCTCTGTACCAACTTTACGGCACGGCATGAGAAGTCAATAAAATGTGCTCAGTGGTATTTATCACCCTCATATTGTGGTGAGAGCTGTCTACTAGCCAAGTGGTTGACAGTAATTGAGGTCAATGTTTTTGTATCAACTATTAGTCATGTTGTGGTGAGAGATGGTTGCTAGCCAAATTGGTTAACAGTAATTTAGGTCAAGGTCAAGATGGACGGGTGGATACAGAACTGACACAGCCACAAGAGATGCAAGGTTAACTTTGTGTGAGAAACAACCAATCAACAGACTGTATTTTCTACTAACATTAACCTCCTGCTGCTGCTGGATTCAACATAGAACTTGGAACCGAAGTGCACCAGTTCGAGTTGCCACGTTCCAAATAGCACACAAAGGTAGACAAGAAAATGAGTGAGGAGAATCAGTAGAATTTAGACAAGTATAAGAGTGAAACAGAATGAGTAATGGTAGAAAGGAATATGAAAGATTACAGAGACTGAATACATCTGCGTAAGCCATTGACAACGATTTTGAGCCATGTCACCTATTGTCTCCAGCCTTCATTGATTCATAGAGTCCCGAGGGCCCCAACCCGGAAGTCTGCATCTCCCTACCTGACACAGTTTAATTGTCAGGGATTTCATGGATTGATGAGGCCATGTTTTTGTTTGGCCACCACTTACTCTTTTCCAACCAACCTGCACCTATATCAGCTAGTAATGCCCGTCTCGTTGGGGGAGGCGATGGTTAGGCATGCGCAGCACGTGACCTAGCCATCTCAATCTATGTAACTTTATAGTCTCTTCACATTAACCTACAAAATGTACGTCAAAATCTATAAATATGTGTTGATTTTCCGTAATAAACGTTCTGTTGCCTGGCCCTTGTCTTCTGTTGTTACAATATGAGTCAACAGTATTTCTCTGTGGACTCAGTCTAATACTGTTATCTCCGATTATATCGTTGAATATGATGTGGTTTCAAATCTGTTTATTCGATATAGATTAAAACTTGCGTTGATTGATTACTAGCTGGCGCAAATTGTTTGCTTATCGGCTATACATATGGTCTTAGTAATGTATCCATTAATTCATGTTGAATATTGTACCGAATCAGCCTGAAGTATAACAGCTTACTTAATAACTTACCATCAATGTCTTCCTCAACGGGCAATGTTAGCTGACTGACATAGGATTGATCAGGTTGGAAAAAAGCTAGCAGTAGTCAAACGAAAGCGTTGCATTGACCAATGACACTCATAGGAGTTAGTTTGAGCGAGCCATGCAGGAAGGTGTAGATTAGTCGACTGGTTGGAGTCCTTGGGATGATAACAACCAATGAAGGCTGTGGAGACAGACAATTGATGAAATGGCTGACAGTTGTCGTTTGCGATGATGGTGCAGATTCATTCACTCTCTGTAAAATTTGTCATATCCATTCAATAGGACTGTCGTGTTCTTCTATATTACGGTTGTTTCTCCCTCCCTCACACTTCTGTGTATTATCTTTCTTTTGAATGTGTGTTCAGTCTCTTCTGTTGCTTTGTGTGGTGCACTTGTGTGCACACAAAGCAAAGTAGTTTTATGTTGAAACCACTCTGTTAGTCAGTATTTGCTCAGTATTGTGTTGTGACTATATTACTATTATTATTATTGTATCCTTTAATTCCTAGAGGAACATAGGGCTTCAGCCGTGCGTCTCCATTGCGTTCGGTTCTCTACTAGAGTCTTCACCTGGCTCCAAGACTGCCCACACGCTTTCATCCCCTCTTCACATGACCTCCTCCAAGTCACCCTTGCACTAACGACCAACTCGCCGCTTCCCTTTCGGGTTCCACTCGAGCAATGGCTTGTCTAGTGATGTCACTTGATGGATTGTTTCCTCAGAGTATGGCCAGCCAATCCATCTCCATTTCTTCCTGCCTATTTCTTTCACAATCGGTTCCTGGTTGGTTCGCTCACAGAGATCCCACCCTGTTGCTGATCTTTTCTGGCTGGCCATCTGATCTTGAGTATTGAGCAAAGAAAACTGTTCATGAAGGTCTGCAGTTTGTTTGAGATGCTCTTTATGACGCGCAGTGCAAGTCTCTGATCCGTATAGTGAGTAGTACTGACTTCACATTGGAGTTGAAAATCCGGATGTCATTTTTGATGCTGAGTGCTGTTGACCTCCACACAGACTTGAGAGTAGTGGAAGCTTCTCTTGCTTTTCCGATTCTTGCTTTGATATCCTCATCAGTTCCGTCTGCCTGTAGTTGAAACGATGCTTCCCAGGTAGGTAGGTAGGTGAAGGAGGTTGTTTCTTTCAGGTTCCTTCCGTTTATGCTGATTGTTGTTTGTTGTTGTTGCTGCTGTTGGTGGTGTTGCCCAGGAATCTCCATCACCTCTGTTTTCTCCATGTTCACCTGAAGGAAGTCCTATCTTTAATGCTTCTTCAAAGATAGCAGTATTTCTTAATGTTGCTGTGACAACATTTTTATAATAGTAATAATGAAAATTCTACTTACCTTATATAATAGTTTATTTCATTGATTTTGTTTTTATAGCTCCATCACTGCTAATCCATCTACAACTAGTAGTGAGAATTCACCAATCAAATCTACTGACAAAGCATCTGCTCCGTTTAACACTGATAATACAACCAATTTTGAACAACCGATCAAATTGAATCATGCTGTACCATACACTGAAGAAAATCCGTAAGCCTTATGGTTTTTGTCTCGTTTTTCTCTCTTTTTGTCTGTACATGTTTGCGTGTATGTGTGCGTGTGTCACAGTTTCCTTCTGCTTCTTTTTTAAAGCTGTTTTTTCTTTTTTTTTTTGTGAATCTGGATAGCGATTGTTTGTTTTTGGCATAGGAATGGGGACAGTCTGACGATTTTTAGGCATTTCATTGTCACCTAGTCTGCTACCCAGATCTGTTATCACTCCATACCATCATTTATTTAGCATTATATGTGTCTTTAAGAAGTCAGGACATTACGTACTACTGTGGGAAATTTCATAACATAGAGTTTAACGTTGCAAAATAATATTGATTTAGAATGTGATTTGGAAATGGAGCTATAAGAAGCAAGATCATTGAACATCTGATCGATAGCGGTCACCTTATCTCTCTCCCTATCTATCTATCTACACCTACACGGCGAAAAGTAATTTGCCCGAAATTATTACATATTCATCTGACTCATCTGTATTGCTGAAGCCATCTCTGACCATCGAAATAGAGGAGAAGCCAGATATCTGCATATACAGAAAAAAAGTTCATTAAACCCCTCAGCCTAGTAGAAGTTGTGATTTCTTTCACTTGGACGAAAATCAAAACCTTTTGTTGTTCATTTATTGATCTAATACTGTTAAAAAATCAACATGAATAACTTATTTCCAATGTCATATTCTTTTCTTTAGTTCACTGAATTCTAGCAAGTAAGTTTTTACTTCCACACACACACACACACACACATAAAAACATGCGCTCAACTGGCTCATCATCTGGCTTTGCTTTTTGTTTTGTTTTTAAAATCTCTGAAATTTTGCTTTCTGCTCTCAGAAAAAAAAGCAACAGTTTTGTCCATGGTAGGATAGAATTAGAGAGATTTATCAACACACAATCTCTAATTAGTTTGATGGTATGTATGTATACTCAACTGTTGATGTGAATAGATTGAGATTTCTTTCGAAGTCTGCTTTATTTGGTGGCATTCTGTTACACCAGTGTGTAAAACTTGGTCATTGTGGTGGTAGTGTATGTAACTCCATAATTATTTTGTTTATTAGTTATATACCACACACACACATACACACAGTGAAACAGGGTTTCGAACACAATCCTTTGTTCTTCATAATATCATATCATCCATTATAACCACACAACTTCGAAACTTGAGTCTTACACAGTTTCTTTTATTCCTGCCTATTCGCCGTAGCGGTGGGTAGTAGAGTTTATTTTCCAGATTTCCGGGACATGCATTTCAAGCGTGCACAGGATAATGACAACACCAACAATGGGGAATATAAATCATCAGTATTACTACCAGACAAAGAAGGAACCTCAGAAATCTTACGGAGAATTCTTAACAATACAGGAATAAAAGTGGCTGGTATTCAAATCATCCAAGAACTCAATTACAAACAAGCTTTGTCGGTTAAAGGATCCCGTGGAGTCTATTAAACAAAGCAGTTTAGTTTATCTAATATGCTACCTGCAGTGATTGCCAGGTCAAATACACACATCAAAGCTGTAGAACGGAGTCAGTCGGGCTAATGGAGCACAAAAACCTAACAGAATCTAGACTAGTCGACCATAATAAGATAAGAAATCTGGAGAATAGTTCAGCCATAGATGATAGCACTACATGCAATTGCATACACCCACACACACGCATACTATACAATCGGATGGAATTAGATGACAGTTGAAAAATCTAATATAACAGGGTGATGGAGGGGGAGAGATGTGTCTGTCTGTTTTCGACCTAGAACTTTGCACATATGTGCGGCAGTTCAAGTCGCCACACTCCATGTAGCACACAAAGGAAGAGAGGAAAGTAGGAGAAATGCATAATAATATAGACAGTAAACAGAGGTGTGAGACAAAGGAATAGTAATAACAAAGAACAAAACAGTTTGATTGGAAATCATAAGTCACAAGGAGTGGATGCATCTGCGACAGCCATTGACAACGATTTTGAGCCATGTCACCAATTGTTTCCAACCATTGGTTTTTACCGTCCCGAGGACCTCAACCAGTCAGGAAGTCTACACCTTCCTAAGTGGCTTAAACTAACTGTTGTGGATTTCATTGACTGGTGCCATGTTTTCGTTTGACCGCCACTAGCTCTTTTCCAGCCTGACCCTATATCAGCTAACATTGCCTATCAGTCGAGGAAGGCGATGACTAGGCATACGTAACACATGTCCTAACCATTTCATGCAGCCGATGTAATTTCACAACCTCGTCTGTTGATTTCCCCTCCTTACGTAGCACTCGACGCCTAACCTCAGTATTGCTCACCTTATTATACCACTTCACAAGGGAGATAGAACGCAGGCACCTATGATCAAAGACAGCTAATCGATGGAAAAGGCATCGGCGATTGGCAACACCAGTCAACTATTCAGGCTTATCAGGGAAACAGGTGGCGAAAGGCAAATGATAAGTGAAACAATCTCGGAGAAAAATGGCACCATAATTAGCTCCCAGGCTAGACGACTGGGGGAGAGATTGGATAACGTGGGGCTTCATTCATCTTCGAGTGATTGCATACCTTTCCAGTCGGACATCTGGAAAGTTCTACTGTTGTGAGTGCTACTTATAATCCGATATAAGTAGTATATCAGGAACGAAGTAACAACATGTTTGGCACACTGAAAAGAGCAATCAAAGAAGAGAACCATGAAAAGAATGTTGCCATATGATGCAGAATCCAAGAAGCTATCGAATGAGACGATATTCGACCAATTCGTCAAGGATGTGGTAAAGATGAGCAAATGGCCGGTTGAGAATATGGTATTCCAAATTTAGCTATGTACCATACGTTTCATCAAATAAACATTCCTTTCAGTCTCCTCAGTCTTGTCTTCTCTACATTTGGTATCGCTGCCTACCGACAAATGGAAAGCCTATGCCCTGCAGTTTTTGATGGAGACATATGGATCTTCGCGCAGGACTTCGAGGCTTCTTCGCAGTTGAGTAGCGTTCAAGATCTGTCAGCGATGAGGCTGCTACTTGGGACGCTGCTGGGAGGTCGGGAGAAAGCAGCATATGGAAGTGTGAGGCAAAATACCTACGAATGTGCGACAGGGTCAGGCAAACAGTTTCCAAAGTGGGAAGGACCATATATGGTCACGTTGAGATGGGGTTATGCAGACACAATCGCAATGGTAAACACAGAGAAGCAAGTGAACATCCGCAAGCGCCGAGATTTCAGACAGCAAGACAAAAGAGAAAAGCCCCAAGAACCAAGAAGACCGAGCCGAATTCAGTCCAAGCTATTTGACGGCGGGACGAGTGTGGTGAGAGCAAGCTGCTAGCCAATTGGTAGACATTGATCTACGCTGATTGGTAGAAATTAATCTAGGCTGATTCAACAACCGATCACAGCTGACCTAGACGTGGACAAATATGATTCGCAGACAAGTGGCTCGCATTTCCGAGAAATATCGAGAACGAGAAAGCAGAAGACTGCGTTTGTTTGCAAACAACCAATCAGAAGACCGCCTTCTTTCTGCGGGCAGAAGCCTATTAATGTACGTAAAATACATATAAATACCTGTTGGTTTTCGTAATAAAACTGATCTGTTGCCTGGCCTTTGTCTTCTGTTGTTACACTACCACCCACCCGTCTACGATGAATAGGCAGGAATAAAGGAAACTATAAAACGAAATTCTCAAAGTTGTGTGGTTATAATTGATAATATGATTATGAACAATAATAAATTGTGTTCGAAACCTCGTCATCCAGTAAACAGTGATACTGCTTTACTGTGTGTGTGTGTGCGTGATGTATCAAATATACAATAAATAATATGGAGTTTCATTTATGATTGTTACAATTTTGCCTAGTTTACTGCTACTTACATTTGCTGTCATCGCTTAAGAAAATGTGAAAGATATCAGCGTGTTAGTTGATGCTGTGAGATCGTCTTCAGATCTGTTCTGTTTTCGCCACAGTTTGAACAACTAGCTGTGTGAAGTATTTCGCTGTTATTCATTGCCTATCACCTCATCTATGATTATTATTACTATCACTATTATTATTTACGTCACCGGAATCAATAAAATTCATCCAGTTTTTGACGTGTGTGTGTGTGTGTGCGCGCTTGCGGGCAAGCGAGCGAGTGAGTGCGTTTCTCGTCTATCTACTTTTGTCTCTCTATTCGCTCAACCTAACTATCATTCCCAAGGTTTAACAACCAGATGCGCTACCCTTTTGTTCCTCTTAACAATCTCACCTACTACACCTGAATATTTTACGATTGCGGGGTTTACTCTCTAACACACTCCTCCATCCACTCTACTCCATTGATCACCATTTTTCTTGCTGTTGTTGTTGTTGTCGTGTTTTTTTGCTTTATACAAAATGATATCGCTGTCCCGCTTTATTTCGAATTATATTTGATTCTTTTTTGTTACAGTTTATTATTTGCTTTGCATTAGTTTAATTTGCCTATTAAGTGACAATGAATTATAAGAACGCTCTATATTATGGTTGTCCTGTTTGTTTGTGTTTTGAAGAGTTACATTGTTGTGTTGTTGTGTATTTTCTGAGGAAAATTTCAATGTGATCATCTCTTCTTTCTCTGTTCTAATTATGCATGATAACTGAACAATGGAGAGAGGGGAAATAAGATCGATATTATTAATTGTTGAGGGTCAGTCAGACAGTGGTGCTGGTGAGAGGAGGCTTTCCCTACTAGGAATAATTAGCTTAGGGTGCGCGCCTTTTGTTTCGAAAAATACTTAGCAGTCTTTTGTAATTCCACTTAGCTTTTTTGTTGTTGTTGTTTTTCTTCCCTGAAGTTCCTAAGTGGAAGATACAAATTCAGGAATTAGGCCTTGGAGTTTCAATAGACGTATTGTCGGTGGCTTAGTGATAGAATGCTTGCCAAGAACGCATGTAGTCTGGGGTTCGATTCCCGGGCACAGGAGCACTTCACAAACCTCGCTAAGTCGCTTATTAGAGAGGTAAAGATGGAAGACCGGGCAGAAAGCTAGCAACCCCACCTCCTAAAAGAAACACCATTGCTACCTAAACTTCAAGCCTTATATTCCACCGGGAACGTAAAGGAATAAAATATAAAAAATAAATAAATCTTCTGGGTTGGGGTTACCAGCCTCACTTTTAACCCTTCCTTTCCGGGCTTATAAACTAGTCGATTTAGCTTGACACCAATCAGATCCCTAAAAGCTAACACTTGAAAACCTCTTGAGGTTTAGAAGTGTGTTGGCCAGGAATGAAACTGCAGACCATCACGTTCCCGTGCAATTGGCACCTTTAATTAGGAGACTATATTGTACACTAAATGAGCATACTTCAAACATCATACTAAACAGTTGGTCATTATTTACATTACAAAGACTGGCGGAGAGGTGATAATTACTAGCATTATCTTATTGGTAGTGTTAATTCCGTTAGTATAATCTCTTACATGTGTAAAGTAAGAAAATAATTGGTAGAACCGAGCTTGATATACTTCACGTTCGATATAAGCCATTGAGTATTTAGTCTATGAAGTGAAATTTCACTTAACCAAAGATAATCAATCACACTGACTTCACAGTGTGTCGGTGGCACAGCGGTAGAGTGCTCGCCAACCACGCAGGTGGTCCGGGATTCTATCCCCGGCCGACGCACTTCTTTACCTCGGTAACCCAGTAATGAGACTGGCAAAGGGGGAAAGATGGGAATGAGGTTAGCAACTCC